AAAAAAAAGAGGAATTATTTGTGCTCCTTTGCCACTGAGCAGTGGGTCCTTTGCTGGGAGCCACGCGTGGGCACCGCTGCAGCGAGCATCTTCAAACTCAGCCCCAGTTCTTGCTGTCGAACGCTTGCGGCCCTTGCTTGGCCCTTGTCCTTGGCGGCTTCGCCCTGCTCATGGATTTCCTCTTTTTTTTTTCCCGTTATTTCCAGGGATTTGAGGTTTTGGCTGAAGCTACCACCAGCCAGAGCCTTGCTGGGAAAAAAACCCATTTGCAGAGGAGGAACCCCCCGAGGGTGCTGCGCAGATGAAGGCACGGGAGGATGGGTTGGCTCAGAGCCGGAGGGATCCGGGCAGACACCAGGAGCGCTCCGGGAGCGACGGGGATTTGAGATTCGGTACGGTATATCCTGCAGGCAAATGGCTCTTCATGCGAGAGCAACCCAGAGCCAGGACGCCGGCGAAGAGTTTCACATCGCTGTCGGACCTTCGGAAATCTCCTCCAGCCTTTGCTCGATCATCAGCCGGAGGATGGAGTACCTGGAGAGGCGGATGACAAGGAAAGAAGGATTTTTGCAGCATCAAGCTGGGCTTTTAACCCAAATCGCCAAGAAAACCCAGGAATAATGCAAAACTCATGCATACATGAGGGACACAAGGCTGTGCAAATGAATTTTCAGCCCGAAATAACCCCCCGACAACATCCTTAACTCTCAGCATCTCCCCTTGATGGCACCGAGCCCGCCGTACTTGTGCATTAGCTTCTTCACTTCGCGATCCTCCTCTTCCTCCAGCTTCTGGATGAAGCTCCTGAGGACGGGCATCTCAAATTTGATGTACTGAGCAACCTGGGGGGGGAGAGAAACGCCAAGGCGGGCGATGAAGAGGGCAATGCACCAACCCTGCGAGGCTGAAGGCGACCTCGCAGCATCCTCTCCCTAGATTGAACTGGGAAAATCAAGGATCCCCCCCCAACTTCTGGAACAAACCCTAAAAGAAACCACATTTCCTCTGCACGGCATGGACATCAGCTTGTGCAAACGAGAAAAAAAACTCCACCTAAGGTTTATTTTGTTTTACCCACTGGCTGCAAGACTTGGCGCCTTCATACGGCGAGCCCTGCGCATCCCCAACGTGTCACTGAGTGCTCTTTAGGCCCAAAGATACCCAAAAAACATCTCATCCATGCTCTGATTTAAGAGTGGAGCAGTGCCGGGGTAGGAGGGAGCCGGCAGATGGCACAAACGAGCCGTTCCCCACCCGCTGCGCTTTTCCCGGCCGGAAAAAAAAAAATCAGTTGCGCCAAAGGATGTGAAGCAATTGCTCTTCTGCGATCAGCTTTGGGAGGGCAAAACAGGGCCGGGGGCCTTTGCTCTCGGTTGCAGCTTAAAGATGCTCTTTAAGCAAAGAAAATCTTTTTTTCCCACTAAATGGGGAGTTTTCACGGGGAGGCGCGGGAGCGAAGCAAAGCAATTCCTGCATTCCCAGTGCTGAGATGTCCCCCCCCTGGTTTTCCTCCATCCCAAGGCCATCCAGCAAACTCACGTCGTAGGTGACTTCTTCCACCTGGTCCTTCTCCATGAGGAAGACCTTGGAGACCTGCTCGCAGGGGCCCTGCAGGATGCGGGCGATCAGGGGGTAATCGCTGGCTCGCAGCTTCTGCTTCTCTGCAAACGCCAAAAGCACCGGCGTTTGGCCCAGCAGACGATCACCGGCTGTGCCGGGGAAGGGGGGGGGGCGGGTTGCAGACCTACCTCCGCTGGTGTGGACGATGTACAGCGCAAACTCTTCTGCCGAGTTCTCAATCTGAACGGATACATAAATCACTATTAAAAGTCCATGGTTCTGTCCTAGGCTTTCCCAGCAATTAAAAAAAATATCCCGTTATTTCACTCCGCTGTTGAGTTTTATAGCCATGGGATATAAATTCCCTGGGCAGAGCAATGCAGGAGCGCAGGGCAGGGATATCTAACGTACCTTGAATTTATTGAGCAACAGTTTGAGGACCTGGGGGGTCGTCATCGTGCTGTTTATCCGGACGTTGGTGACGGAGCCGTACGCCGGCGTGAACACGGACGTCTACGGGGTGTAAAGTCCATTCAAACCCCGCCCTGGATTTCCCCACTGGCCCATCGGGAGAGGTTTTGGGGAGCTGGTGAGGTTCGGGGCTCACCTTATGGTTGTAGAAGTGCCCGTTGATGGAGAAGCGGTGACGGCGGATGGACCGGGGGCAAGTGAGAACCCCCAGAGTCCTACCCCAGCATCTCCCTGCTGCAAAAAAACTCCTGGGAGCCCCCCCGCCCATGGATGCAAAAGTTCCCATCACAGAAACTTGGCCCAACAAACTTCCCGGGACAAATTTAACCCACCAGTTTAAACCACAGCAGCTACTGGTTTATTCTCTCCCAGCTCCTGAAGAAGGCTATTAATTCAGAATTAGCTGCGTAAATCCAGGCTGCTACCTGGATAAAGCCTCTTCTCCCGGGGACTCGAGCATCTTTAGTTGCTTGTTCATAATTTAACTTCTTTTTTTTTTTCCTCCTTTCCTTTAATGAGAACAGGCAAACGAGGCCAGCGCTTCAGATCTCGGCGTGAAAACTGGCCTGGGTCCAGGTTATTATAAACTAGCTCTTCATCCATTTTTAATGAACCTCTCGGGCTCAGGCTTGGGTGTTTTAATTCAAAGCATGGCAGCAGCAAGGAAAACCTCCGGTGCGCGCCGCTCCAGATGCACGCCATGGGCCCCGGTGACTAAGCACTCACGAGGAGCTGTGCACGCACGTTGTGCACTGATTTTTACAGGCTTTGGGAGAAAAATATAATAAAAGATTTCTTTCTTATGTGCTGGCAGAGGATTAAGATCATATGGCTGGCTGACATAGCTGCCGGGTTATTCCTGTGGTGCGACGCGTTGCGGCTATCGCCCAGGCAAGCTTTAATTAAGGGGGGGGGGCGCTGGGGAAGAGTCATGCATGGGGAGATCTAAAAGAGAAAAGGAAAAAGCTGGAGGCTCAAGGATGGGGCAAAGGGTTTCATGGATCGATGAGTTTTGCAAGTGCTCAGCTCCTCCCCAAGCCGGGGAGTGGATGAGCGTCCCAAAGGTGAAAGGATTAGCTGGTTCCTCTCTGCCTCCAGGGTGTATTTCCATAAACCGCCCCCCCAATACACACACAAAAAAAAGCCAGGAACATCTGCAAAATGCCCCAATCTAATGAGAAAAAAATACATAAAGCAAGTTTTTCCAATAGGAATTGCCGGTGAGCCAGCTCGTGTCCCCTTCATCGCTGCCTCAAAAACAAGGGGTTAACGGAGAGCCGGGCGGGCGAGCTCTTCCCCCTCGCTACAGAGGAAAAACCAGGGAGGGGGAAGAAAACTACAGAAATGTTGACTTCCCCATGGTAACGGCACTTCCCAACAGCGCCCATTCTTCTTCCCTAAAAGCAGAGCCGCTGGGAAGGGGAAGCACCGACATCCTTTTCCCTACGATCCCACGAGGCGCTGTGCTCCATCCCCCTATTTCTTTCCAAGCTCCTCCTCACCACGTCCCCCCGTCGCCTGTTCCTGGAGCAAAAGCCCTTAGGAAGGGTTTGGGGCCACTGGGGCAAATATTTGCTTGCTGCAATTAAATAAATTCATTATTAGGTGCATCGGAAATGGCTTTAAGTGACCCGGAGCAAGATGGGGCCCCTGATTTCTAGAGGAAAAAACCCTCCTGTTTTGTATTTTCTGAACTCAAACTGGAGCGTAAGGCGGCTGCTCCCAACCGCGCCGCCAAATCCAACCGGATCAGAGCCCAGCTCACCTGCGCCGCTCCCGGGAGCCTCCGCGTTCGGCACGGCCTCCGCATCTGTAACCTGGATGTCTGGCAAGGTGCTGGGCTTCAGCACGGACCTGGCAATCAAAGATCAAAAATACGATGGGTGCCCTGTTAGCGCGCAGCTGCAGTGGGAATGATAACCAGGATAATTCCCACTCCAAGCCCCAGCGTTGCTATTTCCAGGATGGGAAGCAGCCCGTCCTCCCTGCGGATTTGGCAGACAACCACCCCTGTAGGGTCGCAGCACAGGCTAGTTACAATATAAATCGTGAATCTCATCCTGTCCCGCTCCCAAAAAACCCTTTGGAGGGCCTTATCCCAGCTGCCCTCTTCCCAGGAGGGGGTGCTGAAGCCCAAACCAGCCGTTTTGCAAGCTCCAGCGCTCAACCTGCCCCGGCAAAGCTCACCCCACCCCTTTTTTCCTCTTTTTTCCCATCTGTCCCAGGGGAATTACTTAGGCCCAGAGCAACATCCATCATTAAACTTGTATTAAAGTTAAAAACCAGGCTGGGTTTGGAAGGATCTTCCTGCAGGCAAAGGGGTCTTTGCAAATGGGGGGGGCTGTAAATGAG